ACATTTGCTTATGCCATGGTGATGACAGCATGCATTCTGTGCAAGAATGCCTTCAGATCGTCAGCCGAGGCTCACATGCGGCTTTCAGCAGGCTGAATTATACAAATTAAGTGGTTATTTTGAATAATTACCATTACACTTTGTCTGCTGCAGCTTAGCGCCCAGCACTGTCCAACACATAGAGGGGTTATTTCTGTACTAAACACACTGTAAAATTCACATTACTCATGTTTTAGCCTCTTTACACCGGATTTAGGTATGTTTTAGGGTGCTTTCTAGTCTCTTCTTAGTACTATAAGCACACAGTATATATTTTGAGAGGTCTTTTGAGAGACTGTCAATGAGAGTGAAGAGAACAAAAACCAAAAAAAAAAAAAATGAAACTCAGGATCCCAGCTCCTGCCTCTGTCTGTCTCTCTCTGTCTGCCAGTAATCAAGCCACACTCCTCAGCTCAATCACAGAGCGCTGCGACTATCAGCTCACCTGAGCCTCATCACCACGGCTCCCTTTAAGAATCAGCTCTTCTTTTCACTCGGGTCGTCGTTCCACTCACCGGTTTCACGGCCGCGTGTCAACCCGTTTCCAGCCAAAAAACAAAAAGAAGTGACATCACCAAAAATGTGTCGCCAGCTCCTCATCTTTGTTTGAGGCTAATGTAGCTCAAGGCTATACTGGTCTCAGTAAGCATATGTAACACACCAGAGAAACTATCCGAAGGTAAAATACATTGTAAGTAATAAAGGTGTCAGGTGTTGTCAAGAAATGAATAAGGTTGTGCACAATAAAAAGTCATTCTCCGACATCAATCATCTTTTATTCAGGAGTCTGACAGTGTAATGCTGAACAACACCTAATAAGAAGGGAACATGGACAAGAGGAACAAATTTGTATATATGGACAGGGTGGTGTTGTTTCAAGACGAGGAGACAAACCTGTTCTTTGATGAAACACTACAATTTTACACATGAAAACAGTCTTTATCTCAGTGTATCTTCACACAGTGTGTAGCTAAACAGTTCACACACTGAGGAGTTTATGAATGAACATCACATGAATTACCTCAAACTGATTTACCACCTAGTTTCCTGACCTAACCTTCACACTCCTGCACATCTCCAGCAGCATACTTTGAATTATCAACACGCAATATTTCATGTGCTTCAAACTGCTGCAATGAAAAAAAAAAGAAGGACTTCTGTCACCTGAATTGCGAAAGTCCCTTTTGTGTCGTGCCCAAGAATTCTACGTTCTTTAGGCCACAAAGAGGTAATTGTAGTGTGTGGGGGCTTTATGGCTGGCAGAGAGCACGGGTCTGATTTCACATTGTGTTGAACAGAAACCAGGAGGCTCCCTATACAATCAACCCACAGGGCACTGAAGTCTCACCTGTACTCTTATAGACTAGGACTCAGTTATTTTAGCAAATCGGTAATTGTCGGGTGTTTCATTTAACCGTCATCGCAGCAACCTAACACTGTAATGTAATAGCTTCTTTTATTGTGAAGTGGCACAGAAAAATGGTTAATTTAAATGTGTTTTGGTTGCAAAATGTTTAAAAGGATGGGTTACATTATAATGTAGCGCTGTGTTGACAAAAGTTAGAATTTTTTTTTTTTTGGATAAGTTGTTGAAATTGCACTGATTTGGTGTTTTATATGATCTCTTGGTGTGATCAGATTCCGGTCATTAAAACCTTTTATCCAGAAAGAAACAGTGGTTTTCACATGCAGTGCTGTGTTTTCACCCGCTCACTGTGAAAATACAGACGTAGGTTTTAGATCAAAACCATTACCACATCGATTCTTGGGAATTTTAAGATCCACCCAGCAACAACAGGTCTTTAGTCTCCTCCTCTCACAAAGTCAAGCAGTGCAAATGAGTTTCCACTTATTACGCTGCCAGTACGGGGCTGTCAGCAGGAAGCGAAGGGGGGGAGGAGACAGAGAGCAATTGAGAAAGGTAACGCCAGAGAAAGCTCATTCACTTCAACCACAGCTGACGACAAAACATGCACAGTTCATCGCAGGTAAGTGGACTTTTCTCCTTTCAAATGATGGATTTAGTGAGTGTTATCTGAACGTAGCTTTGATATTTTTGCACAGTTGAACACAAGGCGACGCAGGTCAGCAACAGTGGCGCCACTTTAGCCAGACAGTGATGCAGCATGGTGATGTTGTGTGCCCAATATGTGTTAGATTTGCCTGTAACAAACAGTTTTATTTCATATGTATCTATTATCAATCTAAAATGGTATGAATGAGTCCGTCGCTAATAGTTATTTAGATAAATATGAGAGAAATTATCTAATCAACTTGAGAGTCATTCTCAGAATTTCTTCTACTTTTCTGAATATCATTTATCATATTTTTCTCTACACAGATTGTGATAAATTGTGAAAGATGCAGACACTTTTTTTTATTATTCGTGAGGTTTATGAAGATAATTGTGTTTTTGAAACTTCAAAAAAAAATGTTAACAGCAGGTGATACTGTTGAGGCGTCCTTTCGTTATCATTTTAACTAGTTTGCTAATTACATGCTGCACATTATTTACCAATACAACATGAAGAAGACGTAGGGAAGGGAAGAGGGCTACTTGTACCATGCGGGTATGATACCTGATGAGCTAATATCAAACTAAGAAATCTAAACTTCACCTTTTTTTTTTCCAATTAAAGTCAGTATTTTGACATATAAGCCAAAATGGCTAATGTTGTCACTCAGTTTCCAGGGTGTAGAGCCCATAGGAGGTCATGCTGGGATCCAAGGGAGAAGGGAAAAAAACAAGCCGTGCCGCTTAGCTTCTCTCCCAAGGGGACTGATCGAGGAACAAACACATTTTAATTATACTCACTGATAAACCGCCGCAAATGGAAAAATTAAGGTATAATGGTGTGTCACCTCACAGAACTAGTCTCAGCAGGAATTACCACACAAATGGGGTGTGTGTGCATGGCTACAACCTTCTTATCATATTTAAAATCTTGTCAAGTCCAGCAATGTTAAAACTGTGTGAAAACAGTTGCTGCTTTAAAGTTCACATTTATACATTTCTTGCAGTGTGACTCAATAAATAAATTATGAGTTTCTATAGAGTAATTCTAGCATCGTAAAAAGAGGACACCATAGATGACTTAGCACTTACAGCTCAAAGGAGCTGCCCAGGTGGGTTACAAGCACTACTGTAATACAAAGACCTATTAGCATGGGTAAACAGCCTGAATTGTGATTATATTGCCATCTATTATAAGGAGCTTTTGTCAACATACAAGCTCACTTTGCTGTTGTGTAGTTTATTTCCTTAGCAGAGATTTATCAACATGTGTAAGAATTTGTGGACATGTATTCATTTTAATTTTATGTTTATCAGGAATTTGACTGATTTGATGTAATTGCAGGCTGGACAAACACCTCTCTCTCTGTCTGCCAATGGGATAATGGCCTCCAAGACGTTTATAAAAGACACAGGTATGAGTGCGGTTTCGTTCATTTAAAATCATTGCCACTGGTTGCATGCATGCTGAGTCTCAGAGGTATAATACACAGGGAGTCATTTAGCTGTTTTTGTGTGCAGATCTCCTTGCATGAACTAGAGCACAGTCTTGTACAAACACAAAAAGTGTACAATCACAGCTAGTTGTCATTAAATAATAGAACGTGACGCCACTGAAACTCTAGGACAGAACTTCCACCGTGCCAAAACTGTAGACGTCAAACTGCTCTCTCGTGAATAAAAAGACGACACATGCATGTTGGCATTGTTAGTTTGCACCAGAGCTACATGCATGTCCTCACCCACATACAAACTTTATTTACATGTTTTCACACTGTCACTCCCGCTCACATTTTATTTTCTGTTTAAACCTGACCACTTCAGCCAAACTGACAGCCCACAATGGTCCTTAAGGCAAAATCCTAACATCAGGATGCAAACGTTTCAAAATGACAATGTCAACATAATGAGCTTTAGCACGGTTTATAACATTTACTTTACACTTAGATATAATTAGTTATACGTCAAGGTTTTTGGTCCTAGTTTAGTGTGTTGACATTCTGGATAAGTGTACATGAGAGTAATTGAGATTTATCGCTGATCACCAGTATTTAATGATTTTATAATAACTGTCAAGATAAACCAGACAGCTGCTATTCATTTCGAATGTTCAGGTTTCCAAACACTAAAACATGCACTTTTCATAAATGTTTCCCTACATGTCTGGCTTTATAGGTATTCTACATCTCCTCCTAGTAGGACTACTTCTGCCATCAGTATTAGTGTCAGGCGTCGGTGCTCAGAGCACACTGTCCTCCACTTCTTCTGCTGCTGACTCCCTATCCACCACAGCAGCCTCCACTACCACAACCGCAGCCACAGTAACCACCACCACCACTGCCCAGCCCCCGACATCCATCACTTCTGCAACCACTACCGCATCCGGAACCCAAGGAGCCTCTACGACACAGCCCCCAACCACCACCACCACAACCACCGGAAGCACAACAACCACGGCTGCCATGCAGTCTGCAACCACCACCATGTCTGCCACACAGTCTGCAAGCACTACCACTGGAAACACAGCAACCATGCCTACCATGCAATCTGCAACCCCCACCACCATTTCTGCCATGCAGTCTGCATCCACTACCACTGGAAACACAGCAACCACTCAACCCTCTTCTTCCACCACCGCCTCTGGGGTCACAACAACCTCAGTAAACACTCAACCCCCTATGACGACCACCACCAGCACAGGTACCACAACCAGCACCCAATTTGTCACCTCCAACAACCTTGGAAGTACTTTAATGATCACCACCTCTGGAGGTTCAGCATCCACCAACACTCAGTCCTCTACAACCACAACCACCTTAGGAAGCTCAACATCCACTAACACCCAGTCACCGACAGGCACTTCTGGTGCTTCACCATCCACCAACATCCAAACCCAAGCAACTTCCTCTGGAGGCATAGCATCCACCATCACCCAGTCGCCAACCACCACCTCCGGAGGTTCAGCATCCACCAACACTCAGTCCCCTACAACCACAACCACTCTAGGAAGCTCAGCATCCACGAACACCCAGTCACCTACTGCCACTTCTGGAGCTTCACCATCTACCAACATCCAAACGCAAACAACCTCCTCTGGAGGCATAGCATCCACCATCACCCAATCCCCAACCACCACCTCTGGAGG